GAGATTGAGTTTTTGTATTGTATGCAGGTTTTTCAACAGTCGACTAATACGTGCGGTAAATTCCATGCTTATCGTAAGTTTTCTAGAGGTTGTTCAACTAATCCGTAGTTTTGGTTTAATGCACTGAAGAAAATTAGTTCTGATCGAATTGTCTTACGAATTGTCTGTAATCGCCTTGATGTTCACGATACGATTCTTTTATTTCCGTTGGCAAACGGCCTGAAAAATTCTCTGCAAGGACTAATATATGTACTTTTCGTTGACTGTACGTCTGTACTTTTTTAGTTATTCACGATATGGATTTGAATGTGTATATTGCGTGCTACCGAAATAGACTTTTATGTGGTGGCTTCGATAGACACGCATTCAAAGTTGTGTTTCATAACGACCTGCCAGATTCACGCATAAATTTCCATCAGTATTCTGAAGATTGGGATACATTCGGTAAAGCGCCCGTTTGAAGACTGTTTCACGAAGCACGTTTTGAAATTTAGCACCCGTCATGGAAAAGCTGACTAAACGTTTCCCGAATTTATTGGAAAGAAATGTTAAAAAGTTGGTTTCTGGCGTAGATACTTTCACTCCTGATGGATATCCAATCGTTGGGCTTCTGCCTGAAGTACGAATGCTTTAAGTTCATTGATATTAACTTTATTAAATGTTAACGCACTGCAGGTTTCAAATTATTACTGCGCCACTGGAATGAATGGCTGTGGTACAGCGTTGGCACCGGGATTGGGCAGTATTTTGGCGAGGTGGATAATTGATTGCGAAGCGCCGCCCGCTATTACTCTGATGGATGTTGCACGCTTTATACCTTTGCATGCTAACAAGTTTTATTTGAAAGAACGAGCTCCGGAAGTTGCTGGTAGTTTGACCAGAACTGATGCACGATTTTCATTTAAATGTGTTGCTTCTCCAGGAACTTTGTTCAAAGCCCGTAGTCAGAGTTTTCAGTGGTCCACTGCTCGTAAAGTTCGAACATCTCCCATTCACCAACATTTAAAAAGTTTTGGCGGCGTTTTCGGTGAAATAATGGGTTACGAAAGAGCACTATTTTTCGCGAAAGATAAAGGTTCGCTTCGATGTTAGCAATCGATAGTGTTTTAAATCTGCGCGTTTAGATATACCGTCGTTAGCCGTTGGTGACAGCTATCCGTTGGGTAAGCCGGTATGGTTTAAGTACTTGGTGTCAGAGTATGAGGCATGTCGAGAACGTGTGGCCATCATGGACATGTCCAGCTATACCAAGCTTCAGATATCGGTTTGCATGTTTATAGGATTAATTTTGTTTTCCGTTTTAATATATAACATTTGCAGGGTCGAGAAGATGATGTTGTAAAATTTTTGCAAAAAGTTTCTTCTGCACATATCGACATCCCTGTTGGCGTGTCAGTGTACACTGGCATGCAGCATGAAGGAGGTGGATACGTGACGGATTGTACGTTGAACAGATTTGGCCGTAATCAGTATGTCTCTCCTAGCTTACTTATTTATCAACGTTGTCCTAAAATACTTAAAGATACTTTATGGTGGCGCCGAGTGTTCAACAGACACGATCTCGTCTTTGGCTAGAAAAACACCTAGATAGTGGCAGCACTGTGATTATACATGACGTTACGTCTATGTACATGACGTTGTGCGTTGTTGGGCCTTCGTCACGATTGCTGCTTCAAGAACTGACAGACGAGTCTATGAGTGGTTCCAATTTCCCGACGTTCGGTTGTAAAGTGAACGTTGAAAGTTAAGTAAGAGGAAAGTTTTCCACGGTGGTATTTCAGGAAATCAACATCGGGTTTGCTAGCGGCATAAAGGCCGTTTGCGTTACTCATTGTGGTGAACTCGGATGGACACTGTATATTCCAAACGAGGTATGTTACTCTTGT